TAAACAGCTTCAAGACTCTCTTTTACAAGGCCACTTCCTCTTTCAAATACACGTTTGAAGAGTTATCCACGCTCTTATCAAAAATAGAAGCATGCCTCAACTCTAGGCCAATCTCGCCATTATCAGAGAACCCAGCTGACCTACTAGCCCTTAGTCCAGGCCATTTCCTCGTCGGCGGTCCTCTTGTCTCGATTTCGGAGCCTGAAATTAAGGAAAGTGCAGTGTCCATCCTGAACCGCTGGCAACGTCTCAAGGCCCTTAATCAGCAGTTGGAAGGAGGAATATCTCAAGGAATTGCACAAACGAAGCAAATGGCAACATCCAACGAGAAACCTTCGTAACGGTGACATGGTTATCGTCAAAGAAGATAACCTTGTATCCAACGAACGGCGCCTCGGCCGAGTCCAAGCCCTGCATCCAGGCATCGATGACATGGTCCGCGTGGTAGATGTCCTTACTGCCCGCGGCGTCATCAAACGGCCCGTGGCGAAGCTCATCCACCTTCCAATGGATGATTCCCATGCCTCGATTCCGTAGATACAGACCTCCCAACTAGCACCTGTGTTGTCCTCTGTGTCTACAAAACTGAATTTAAAAAAAAGGATTCTTGTTTTTTTTGCCTCCTTTAGCGACATGGCGCCACGCCCAGAAAACAACAGTTAACCGCCCCGTGGAGTGGGGACGTACAGATGCCGAGTATGCCGGGGAGTGCATGCACTGCAGAAGGGCCAACGCTTCCTGAGCTTGAGCCCAGAGAAACGTCTCCGAGCAGTACTGATAAATAGCTACTGCCCCAACTGCCTATCCCAGCTACAACGCTGTCGTCTCTCTTCCAGCGCAGGAGCATCAGTGTGCTTGGTGTTCCTAGGAAACGGGTCGAAAACATTCGAGACTCGAGCGCTCATCAGTCCGTGCAGTCCAACGAGTCGCATCGATGCATCTTTGGCAACGGCTCTTAGGCTTTCCGTCACTAGCATCGGTGCGGAAGGTACTCGTACCGCTTTCCTCAGCGCAAGGGGGTCCGAAGGCTCGCCCATGGATACGATTCTCCAGACGGAGAATCAACTTCAGATTCGGACCTTTATAAAACCAATCGGGGAGTCCATCCAGAAAAAATCTGGAGAACATAATCCTGGCGGATGCCGACTTCTATCCGCTCGGCACCATGTCCTTGGTGCTCGGTGCGGATCTTTATCCGCATATAATCCGCCCGGGTCTGGTACCCAGTTAAGACGGTCTGCCGGTGGCGCAGAATAATATATTCGGTTGGGTCCTCTCTGGAACCTGCAGTCAGTGACAACCGGCACGACACCTGACCCCCCTTCGTTCCAAGGACCTCGAATTGCAATAGTATTGCAAGGGGGGGCGGGATGTTTATGCTGCATTTCGCAGTGACCGCTGTCCTGTAGTTTTGTGGCTGCTTCCAGGCTAGTTTTTGTAGCTTAAGAAAACTCGCTGAGTCGCCATATTTTCGTAACCAATTAGTCGAAATAGACCAGTGGAGCATACACAATCCAAAATTTGAGTTTAAATTAAAGTGAAAAATATATATATCAAAGCTCAGCCAATTGTGGAAAAGGAAGTGAAAAATCACTAAGCCACGACACTTTACAGTACGTTAACTCAGAAAAAAATACTAAATATAAAAACTTCCACATGCTTAAAGACAGACACCAACGAAATTTTAATCTTACCCCATATTCCACGAGTGATAGTTAGAACACCGATTTTTGAAATTATTACCATATTCAGACAAGGATAACAACATCTTAACAGAAATAATTCATAACAAATATTTCATGCAAACCAAACAATCCTACACGGCAAATACAAAATAATTAATTACAAATAAATGCATAGCAGGAAATTTGAATCAAGACACAACAGAATGTAGTTAAACAAAAACAAGAAAGAACTTTGAAATAAATTATGTCGAGCCTAACATACTGATTACTTGGAATCAACCAAAGACACTTCTAAAACGAGATTGTATCAATAGAGAAATGATAATAATTAGATTAAATAATAATCACAAGCACAATGTTAGATTATACGCAAACGGTTTATGTTAGCAATAACGTAACCAAGTTAGAAACATTATCATTTATTCAAGCAAAAGAAGTTGTAAAAGATCACACTAAAGTGTACAAAAATTTTCCAATTGTTATTATAACAATACTTTGCACAATCATAATCGCTTTAATATTGTAAAATTGTAAAATATAAGAAACAAAAAGAACAATCACAAATTAAAGAACCAATCATTATACAATCACATGAAAATATTGTAAGCAACAGCAACCTAAATGAATCCGATAATATTGTAATTAGCAATACCCCAACATTATATCCAAAAATGTCCGCCTGAGGACTGGCTAGTTTCTTAGGGATGGTAAAGGGACATATGTACCACACCCACAACATATACTACACTTGCACATACACTCCTATAGCATATAACATATGTCCACAGCACTCAATTCCAACCCCTTATACTTAAGCCCTAGCAACTTAGCACATCACCTAAATATTGTAATACGATACACACCAATTGGAATTTGTACTTGGTGACAATAACAATTCTGGCGTGTGACCGATCGTAAAATCACTAGACATAAACATTCGCCACAATCGTTATTCCCACCAAATGCCGAAATTGCAAACGCAGCTCAAATGTAGTCTCTTAGAATATTCCAGAAAACTCACAAAGAGAGTAAATAATTAAGAGCATTGCTCACGATCTTGAAAGCTCAGCCGAGGTTTGCTATTCGTACATAACAGTTTGGAGAGGGAGTTTATCCGAAATTACTGGGGAATTACAAAATATTAACATTACTAGAAATTCATTTAATAAAATAATTTACAGGAACTCTTTTAATTTCAATTGGTATTAAACTATGGTTAGCTCCACAAATTTCTGAACATTGCCCGTAAAATAATCCAGGACGGTTAATAGAAAATTAGTTTGGCTTAAACGTCCAGGAGTTCCATCAACTTTTACTCCTAAAGCAGGGATTGTTCATGAATGAATTACATCGGCGGCAGTGACTAAAATTCGAATTTGAGAATTTATAGGTAAAATAATTCGGTTATCTACATCTAATAAACGAAATCCGTCATTTGCAATTTCATTTCAAGGAATTATATATGAGTCAAATTCAACATTATTAAAGTCTGAATATTCATAACTTCAGTTACTGAGGGCTCATTAATTTCATCAAGTAAGTATAATAATCGTAAAGTAGGAAATGCGATAAATAATAAAATAATAGCTGGTAAAATTGTTCAAAGTATTTAAATTAATTGATCATGTAGAAGAAAGCGGTTTATGTAACTATTACAAAATAATATAAATATTAGATATCCGACTAAAACAGTAATTTTTACTAAAATCACTAGGGCGTGGTCATGAAAAAAAAATTAATTGTTTTATTAAATGAGAAGCGCTGTCTTGAAGCCCTAAATAAGCTCATGCTGACATTAATTTTCTAATAAAAGTAAAAATCCTTTGTTTGCCTTTTATCTATTTAATTTTTACTATTAATTATTTCAAACAGATAAAACCCGAGTTTTAGTTCTGTGCGTGTATTTTAAGCTGATGTATTTAGAAGAATAGTGATGGAAGAATATTTACAAAGTAAATTATTATTTATTTAATACTAAATCAATTGACGTTCTGCTGCGAACATGATCCCCCCTTTGGAAGTCGAAGGCTTTCAACAGAAGTGGTCTCGATTGGCAGAACGGCGATCTTTGTGATAGCTCTCTTGACAAGTCCGCTTGCAGTTTGAATGATGGATTTACGACAAGACTTTTGATATAATGTTTATGTTGTAATATATAAGGAAGTTTCTCATTCACTGGCAACAGGGCATCGCGCAATCTTCCTCCGAGCAGTTAGACCCGCTCCTTTAAATCAAATTATGGTTTAAGAGGTAATAAACTGCTGGGGCCGACTTGCCAGTAGAGAGTGCTTTCAATTCCCTTTCAAAACAGTCCTACACCATTTGTATTACTTCTCTGAGGACATCGAGCTAGGCATCTCTTCCAATGATATCTTGTGGCAAGTCAAGCTTCTTGTCTCAATACTCACATGTGAAAGAGACTGTTGATCAATGTTATTGCAAGGGCATCCTTCTTCCAGCCCCTGTAACCACTGCGGTCCATGCCACCACAGTTCACATGACATCAACTTAGATACGCTAATTCCCCGACTCAGATGGTCGGCAGGGTTATCATTCGAGGGAACATGTCTCCATTGTCTTCCATTCGAGATCTCCAGAATTTTGTTTATGCGATTTGAAACAAATACCTTCCAGTTTGCACCTCCTCCACGGATCCAACTGATGGTTATCATTGAGTCGGACCAAAAATTAGTACTGCAGAAGTTTATATTAATTCGCAAATTCTGTTTTCAATACTTATAAATTTTTGAAGCTTCAAGAGCAGCACACATCTCAACTCTGGGTATGGTTAAATGTGGCAACCGCTCCATAGGCTTGCGCTGATGCTTTATATAATCCCCATGTTATATATCGTGGTATGCATATGTCTGAAGTATTGAGCAACTCCGTTAAAAATTTCTCCCATTCTCTTCTAACGGCTGCTGGCACTATGCCATCCCAGCCAATCTTATCCTTCCATAGACGCTGCATCAGTATTTTCCCGGTTGCAATAATCGGACTCAGCCATCCCATAGGATCAAATAACCTCGCAACTGCTGACAGAATTGATCGCTTCGTAGGTAAGCCTGCTGATAGTTCAAAAGTTTAAGTGAAATCGAAAGTCATCCTCCGCGGGGCTGCAGTGTATATCCAGCGTACGAATTGTGTCCTCGCCATCAAGGTGCAACAATCCCTTCGTTTGGAATCTTTTCTAACAATTTTGGGCAATTACTTGCCTACTTTCGCAACTCAAATGTGCCACTGCGTAACATACCAATGACTTGAGTCTGGAAAACTTCTGCCTCTGCAAAACTATCCGCTCCAGAAAATATGCCATCAACATACATCTGGTGCTGAACTAGTTCCGAACATAACTGTTAAGCATGCATACTCCTCGATGTAATCGTTCTTATCGGGTTTCCATAATATGCGCTGATACTGGGCATCGTCCCTTGGAATATTGATGCACCTGTACATTTTCTCTACATCAGCCATAAACACGAATCTTAGACCACGCCAATTGAGAATAACCCCAGGTAGCTGCAAGTGTAATTTTGGCCCAATTGCTAAAATGTCATTCAATGACTTCCCATTACTTGCCTTGCTCGAGCCGTCGAACGCAACTCGGACCTTCGTAGTTGATGATGTTTCCTTTATAACTGGGTGATGCGGTAGATAACAATGTTGAACTCCTCCTTCAGATGATGATAGCATGATGTTATAAACCTTAGGCATAACCCGTTCCATTTGGCCCAGCTCCAGATACTCATTAATGGTGTGACGATATGCTTCTTTTAACTTGGGGTCTGCACGCAGGCGCCTGTCCAGATAATCTAATCGCTTCAGTGCGCTTCGATATGACAAACCAATCACCATAGTTTGGTTCAGATGGGACGAAAAGGGTAGACGTACAAGATATTTTCTCGAAGTTAAGCGACGATGAGGATTGACAAAGAAGTCCTCGCACCACCTCTCCTCCGCTGAGAGACATGGAGACTCATTGTCAAATTGCTCTAGTTCTTTGTAGATACTTGCTGTGCACTTGTATCCATTTTCCTTGGGGCACCGTTTCTAGCGCATCCATTTGACCACGCGTTCTATCCAGGTGGATTAGAGTAGCTGCTTGATGATTCGGACTAAGACACTTAAAACATAACCGATGTTTCAATACAATTGCCTTACGATACGACGCACACATTTCCTTGAATACATTACAAGCTCCAATGGGGTGCTCCTCTTTGCCGCAGACGATGCATATATCCGCTTGTCGAGTAATAAATGAAGCTTTTGTGTCTCTTTGGCTTGCACTTAAACCGTATACGCCTTGCTTTTTATGCCTGCGGCCATCTATTGGCTGCGTTACCTCGCAATTTCCCGGCAATGCCGTAATCATCGTTCGATATTGGGACTCGAGGTAAACACAATGTTCTTCAAATGTCGGTAGATCTCCAATTGCTTAGGTAGCCTTTTCATCATATAATATACCATAACTTGAGATTGCAGCTTTATATCAACTCCAGCTTTCTCCAAAGAATTCACACATGAGCGGCAGGTCTTAGACACTCGGTGTCTCTATATTCAACTGCTAATTGATGATCAAAAACATCCATGTAATGTAAAAACAATACTCGTTTATTGTCATATAAACTCAGCAGCATTCTCCATGCCACTGGATAATTCGATTCTATCAAAGTCAAGTGCTCTATATCTTTAGCAGCTTCCTCTGATAGTGAATCCTTTAAATAATGGAAGCGATGTAAGGCACTAAGTCTCTGACAGTGATGGACACGCGATAGGAACACTTCCTTGAATGCCGGCCAATCTATGAATTTACCACTGAAAGTTGGCAGCCTAACCGTGGGCAGCTTCAGCTTCCTCCATAGGGGTTATACACTGTTCATTCATAGTCTGATGCAAACACCTCTCATTGAATGCGGTAGATGCTTGATGTCTTTGCTCCTTGTGCTCATGCAACTCATTACGTAATTCTGCTACTGCCTCGATATAGGTCTCCTCAAACACATCCCTGGTTGCCGGATCAAAATACCTTGTTTTAATCTCCTCGTTGTCTCGCACTCGTACAAGCTGCTGATGGTTGAGTTTAAATTCTGCATTAATTTCTACCAGCGATTCGAGCCTGGCTTCTAGCTGGGTTTCCGTATGTACCGATTCATCAGCCTTGTATGTTTTCAGTGATTTCTCCAACGAGGCCAACAGTGCAGTTTGCTCAAAAGTTAAATACATGAGGCTTTCGGCCATTCTGATCACCTTACCTCACACGTTAGTGTCAAATTGCACTCACCCTTTCAATTAAGTCGCACTGCTATCAGCAATCAAAATCCAGTGTCCAATCCCAAACTCCTCCGTCCAATCGCCAAGAATCATTTCTCACAGGAGGCACCAAAATATGTTGGATATCGGCTGCGCCATGTGCGGAGCCCCAAACTGCCCGTAGATATGATGCGGTATGCGGCGTGGTTACCAACCGAGGCAGCCTTGGGGTTTTTGCACGATTGTTGCGAATGCAAATTTAGAAAAAAAGCCCCAGTTCACGAGCGGGGCTTTTCATTTTAAAAGGCTTCAACTTTTATTGAATTTAACCTAACTTTTATATTAATTAAATTGACCTACACAGAGCATACGTCCAGTGACTTGGACTGACGCTCACAGACTTCGACATGTGTTGCAAATACCGCTGTTACTAGGCTAGCAAATTCAAAGCTCAATAGAATTACAAAATACAAGAAAGTAAGATAACTTAAAGTAACAGGACTTAAAGCACTTCAGAGAGCCACTAAATTCCACTCAACCGTGATAGCGCGCGATCCATTGAGTGATAAGACATCACTCAATGCGGCTGATCTAAGGACAGATGCATTTTTCGTTACTCGCTCATTTCATGCACGTTCTGATAATATACGCTCTTCGGCCGTTGCGATTGCTCTTGCGGGTTAGCTGTAGCCCAAACAGTATATGTATATCAAGTATCTTTCATTTAAAAGCTATCGCCACCTCCCCGCTATTACCACAAAGCTATAAATCATGTTAGTAAACCAACTTGTATTGCATACCTAATTAAGCCACAATTTAAATGCAATTGTCATTTTGAGAATACACGAATATTTTATAGTACAATAAGATCTACTACTGATCGATTCATCAAGGTCGGTTAAGAAACATGAAAGAAAATGTGTCTTGGCCTGCAAACACGTGCAGCAGCAAGCGCAATTCCAAGAATTTCTGTATACATGTACACACACACATTCATGCGCGTCTTCTTTGAATTCTATCAACATCATTGCAATTGAGATTATATTGTTTTCTGTGCTGCTATTTTAATTAATTTTGTTCTCACCAAGACTTAATTTATGGTGTGGCTATTGAGTAGAGGCGTCGGCAAGTAGCGCAGTCAGTTACGAGTTACGAGAACCCTACCGAGGAAACTTTTATTTTTTATTTTTGGCTGGTGTGGCTGTTGCGTAGAGGCGACAGCAAGTAATGCGGTCAGTTGCGAGTTCGAACCTTGCCTAGGGAATTAATTTTTTTTTTTAATTTATCTTTATTACTACTAAAGCAAACGAGCACGTAGCGCAAGCTGCATTTGGTGTTGGAATAAGAGGGTTCAGGGTATCCCCTAGTCGGGAGCTCCCGACTAGAACCTCTTACTTGTTTTATAACTGCTAATGCAAATGAGCTCGCAGCGCGACCCGCATTTGGTGTTGGTAGAAGAGGGTTCAGGGCATACTCCAGTCGGGATCTCTCGACTAGAGTCTCTTACTTATTTTTAGTTTGTTTGTTTCCGATATTCGATAACCTGCCCTGTTTCGAAGTAATCGATAAAAATCGATATCGATAAATAACAAGAGCTAGAGCGACCAAACTTGCCCCATATCTTCTAGAATAGTATATATATATCAAGTATCTTTACTTTTTTTTAGCGTTGACTAGTCAATTAAATTTCTCTATCCCTACTAGACTAACACGTAATATTACACCCTTATCGCTTAAATTTTGCTGAACTAATTATGCCTTTCATGAACCGTTGAGGGTTCTCTGTGATGACTTTAACAAGCATTACAGAGTATTCTGCTCGGAGTCTTGTCTTCCTCGTATAAAGTCTTCTATCCTAAACTATTAAGCTAGTAGATAGTCTTATTTTTATTTGTAATTGTATTTGTGCATATACTTGTAGTTTGTATTCGTTTTTAACTTTTTTACTTTGCAACTCGTGTCGAACGTTACACGACTGCGCCCCTCGGTCGGTTGGGCGGGAGGTGGGATGCAGTACATTGCATCGGGAGTCGCGTCAAAACAAAAAAAAACAATTAGTGGATGCGTTGCATGAGGTGACCGCGAAAATGTTATTATCGCACTCCGCTACGATATTTCTTGCTTTTGTAAAATTACCCCAGCGTGTGCGAATGGAAAAACTACTATCTTCTTACATATATACTTTGGTTTTGGAAATTATATGATAAAGTGATTACTTGCTTAAACCTTAACGCTAGCTACATTCATTAATTCAGTTACACTCATGCCTGTGAAATTCCTATCCAGTATTACTTTTATTATTTACTATTGTGAGATTTACTACATTTTTGTTGGCCATCGTGATGGGTTCCATTAGATTCTCTAACTCCTAACAGTATCAGTAGTCTGTTTCTTTCCAAAAGTGTTACATATAGATGGAAGTAGCAACTTCCCCTTTTTTTATTTTTAATATTTGGCTTACAGTGTTCGCCAGAGCGGTAATATATTCTTACGTTTTTGTGTTTATAACTATTTGTCTTTTGTTTTCCCTAATCAGTTCTGTCAACCGAGTTTCTTCCAGTAATTTTCTCATGTGTGATTGCGGAAACACGTCTTTCATACCTGTTGTCTCCTGTACAAACCTATCATACTCCGGCAGATTTGTCGTGTGTCTAAGATAGTTAGATACTTCCCAAACTACTGCGGTGCTATCAAATATGGGGATGTATTCTGACTGAGTGTAGTCCGTCAATTTTCCATTCGGTAGTGCAACCCATAGTTAAAGTATATGAGAATACCTACACCAATGCAAAAGTAAAAATGTACGCTTCATTATAAAACAAACAGTTAAAAGTACTATTTAATAAGAATATAAAAAAAAGGTATAGAAAACTGTGTACAGCCCGTTTCCCTTCACCTAAGGTTGTGATTATGGACCCTCCTCTTAGGAGAACAGTTGGTCCCAAATAAGCTTTTATTTTTTCTTCTACGCATAAGGGAGTGCGCTTATTACTAAGCATTTTGTTGGTTTTTACCAACACCTTTTCCCCGACTTCGAGTACTCTATTCTGTCGAAACGGGTTGTTCCCATTCAACTGCAATTGTTTTCCTACCGACTGGTAGGAACGGTTGTACCAAAGAGTTCAGTCGCCATGATATGATCTAATGAATAATACAATACCATATTAGAAATAATAATTTGGTATCACATGGCGTGCCTTGTGCCATACCTATCTTTATACAATAGTCCACGTAAATTGACTTACTTTTATTTTTACACAGTGTACGCTGGAGAGAAGTTCTTGTGTAACCACCACCTATGTTTATATGTGTGAATTTTGCATACATAAAAATATGTACATATGTGTAATAGAGAATTTAATTCGATCTACAAAAAAATGTATTAGAGATGATCTCCCTTCAATACAATCTTAAAAGCTATTTAAACTGAAAGAAACTTAGAAGTATGAAACCTCGGTCTTTGGCCGATGGCGTATGTAATATGATATAGAGTTTCGCTTAATAGGCAAATTGTTATGCAGCTGGTGATAGCGCTTACTCCAACATGTTTATGCTGCGTTACTGTATCAATTGCTTGTGTCCACTTCTTCATGCACACATTGAGT